AGCGGAGCCCACCCCCAAACGAGGCGCTAAATGCTATTCTGAACCTTCCAAGTCTGGACTTAGCCGGCATGGAACGAGCTAAGATAGCTGCGGTTCGGATGAGGGACTTAGGGCAGTGGAAGCCCCAAATATACGGTCATGCCAGGATACTCCAGCAGGACACAATGATCCCACCCAGTACAGATCTATGTAAACCTATTGAATACATCCACACCCCCTTTGAAGCCTTGCTCCCAACCAGAGAAGACTGGGAACAAGGCCAGCCGGGCCCTACAGAGGCAGTCAATTTCTACACTGACGGCTCAAAATTAAATAATCAAGTCGGAGGAGGTATATACTCCGAACAACTTAATATCAGGAAATCCTTCAGACTTCCGGATCACTGTAGCGTCTTCCAGGCGGAAGTATTTGCCATAATTGAAGCTTTGATGCTTCTGAAATGGGCCTCTTTCCATCTTTAAAAGCCCATAACTTGGTCAAATGAACTCGGATTTCGATATGGCATACCTTTATGGGCATGTGGAATGATTAAGTTGTTATCTGCTTTAAAATATATAACTAGTAAAAAATATGACCGTTTTTAAATTTAATGATTTCAATTTTGCGAAGGTTAACAGAAATTGTCTTTCTTTTTATCTTTAAAAGCCTATAACTTGGTCAAATGAGCTCGGATTTCGATATGGCACACCTTTATGGGCTTGTGGAATGATTATGTTGTTATCTGCATTAATATATATATTTTTAAAGGTAGTAAAAAATATGACCGTTTTTATGTCATTGATTTTAATTTTGCGAAGGTTTACAGAAATGGGCCTCCTTTCTATCTTTAAAAGCCCATAACTTGCTAAAATGAGCTCGGATTTCGATATGGCATGCCTTTATGGGCTTGTGGAATGATAGTGTTGCTATCTGCAATAATATATGTTACTTTAAGGGTAGTAAAAAAAAAGACCGTTTTAATGTCAATGATTTTAATTTTGGGAAGGTTTACAGAAATGGGCTTTCTTTCCATCTTTAAAAGCCCATAACTTGGTCAAATGAACTCGGTTTTCGATATGGCATGCCTTTATGGGCTTGTGGAATGATAATGTTGTTTTCTGCATTAAAATATATAACTAGTAAAAAATATGACCGTTTTTAAATTTAATGATTTCAATTTTGCGAAGGTTAACAGAAATTGTCTTTCTTTTTATCTTTAAAAGCCTATAACTTGGTCAAATGAGCTCGGATTTCGATATGGCACACCTTTATGGGCTTGTGGAATGATTATGTTGTTATCTGCATTAATATATATATTTTTAAAGGTAGTAAAAAATATGACCGTTTTTATGTCATTGATTTTAATTTTGCGAAGGTTTACAGAAATGGGCCTCCTTTCTATCTTTAAAAGCCCATAACTTGCTAAAATGAGCTCGGATTTCGATATGGCATGCCTTTATGGGCTTGTGGAATGATAGTGTTGCTATCTGCAATAATATATGTTACTTTAAGGGTAGTAAAAAAAAGACCGTTTTAATGTCAATGATTTTAATTTTGCGAAGGTTTACAGAAATGGGCTTCCTTTCCATCTTTAAAAGCCCATAACTTGGTCAAATGAACTCGGATTTCGATGTGGCACACCTTTATGGGCTTGTGGATTGATTATGTTGCTGTCTGCATTAATAAATGTAACTTTAAGGGTAGTAAAAAATATGACCGTTTTAGGTTAGGTTAGGTTAGGTAGGAGTGGTTGGAGACTAAATATTAGTCCCCTCACTTAGGCCACAATGGGCCCCTTGTGATACCACATGATCTCTGAAAAGATCCGTTTCCCTAGCTCATGGGTTATCTGCTTTCGCGAAGTATTCTGTTTTTCTTAAGAAACATAGTAGTTTTTGAATGCTTACGTCCTGAATGGCCGCAAGGTTCGGAAGTGTGTAGCTACCTAGGGTTTGAAAGCGCTTTAGGTTATGCGCTGGGCAGAAGCATAGGAGGTGTTCGATGCTCTCCTCTTCGTCTATCTGTTTGCAGCTGCGGCAGAAGTCGTGGTTACTTAGACCCAGCCTTATCGCATGAGTCCCTATAAGACAGTGGCCCGTGAGGGCATTTAGGAGAACCTATTGAATACATCCACACCCCCTTTGAAGCCTTGCTCCCAACCAGAGAAGACTGGGAACAAGGCCAGCCGGGCCCTACAGAGGCAGTCAATTTCTACACTGACGGCTCAAAATTAAATAATCAAGTCGGAGGAGGTATATACTCCGAACAACTTAATATCAGGAAATCCTTCAGACTTCCGGATCACTGTAGCGTCTTCCAGGCGGAAGTATTTGCCATAATTGAAGCTTTGATGCTTCTGAACGATGCAAACTGTCAGAATAAACTGATTAACATCTATAGTGATAGTCAAGCGGCTATCAGGTCGATTATCTCGACCAATACAAACTCCCACACCATATCAAACTGCCGCAAATCTCTGCACGAGATGGCTCTGCAGTTTAAAATTTACTTGATTTGGGTCACCGGAACATTACAGGCAACTGTATTGCAGATGAGCTGGCCAGGCATGGCACTACCTTTCCTCTCCTTCCGGACGAGGAGAACATCGGTATGCCGATGGCCACATGCAAGCTTAACATTAGAAATCAATACAAGAAACTTGCGAGCCTAGCATGGACACATGTTAAGCACTGTCGCATCTCTCGCCAGACATGGCCAATCATCGACGCGAAGAGAACTTCGGAACTATTAAGACTAAACCGTACCGAGTGCGGAATGGTAATACGAGTTTTAACAGGCCACTGGTTGGTTGGCACACACGCAAGCAGATTGGGCGCGCCCCGAAACGATTTCTGCAGAAGCTGCAGGGACGAGGAGGAAGAGGAAACGGTGGAACACCTGTTCTGTTCCTGCCCGGCCCTGTGCAGATCTAGACTGTACCACTTAGGGAATCCCTTCATGAACAGTCTATCCGAACTGGCGAACATAAGCCTAAAACGAATAATAAAATTCATTAAAGCAACCGGATGGGAATTGTGCTAAGCCAGCTGCAATAATGGCAGCAGATTTTTAAGAAAGGGGATACAGATCCACGCGGTACCACAATGGACCTTTTAAGGACTAAGTGTGTCAATGATTTGGCAGCCGCTCTAACCTAACCTAACCTAACCTAGAGAATAAGTAAAGTTAAAAAATAAAATAAAATTTAATTAATAACTTCACTAAGGAGAAAGGTAACTTGCACGTGGGCCGTAGTTAAAGTCGTGATCAAAACCTCACCTTGATTGAACCAATAGTGTATGTGGGATATGGATATATTGAGGGATTTACAGCAGCCTACTTAATTTCATATGGGGACACACTGTTCAGATTTCCACAACTTCATAGCATATTCCATCCGCCGAAAACGAAAAACAGTTCCTATCCCTTTTCATCAAAGAAATTTATATCCATTCCCCCCTTTTTCATTAGAAATTACACCTTATAAACTTAAGCAAGTCAGTTGATGTGGATATTTTGTCAGAGGCTGTCGTGTCATCCATAGAGTGCGAAAGTCGTGGAGTTTAAATAAAAACCTTTGTTTCTTTAATTTACTTAACTATACCCGAAATAAACATTTTAATTTGTAATACCCTACATGTATATTTTTATACCCGTTACTCGTAGATTAAAAGGGTGTACAAGATTCGTCGGAAAGAATGTAACAGGCAGAAGGAAGCGTTTCCGACCCCATAAAGTATATATATTCTTGATCAGGATCACTAGCCGAGTCGATCTATCCCGTCCGTTTGTCCGTCTGACTGTCTGTCCGTATGAACGCTGAGATCTCGGAAACTATAGGAGTAACAATACTGGTATTATTCATGCAGATTCCTAAGATTCGTGCGCAGCGCAAGTTTGTTTCAGCAATGTGCCACGCCCACTCTAACGCCCACAAACAACCCAAAACTGCGGCTCCTACAGTTTTTATGCTAGAATTTAAAAAAAGTTTGCCACGCCCACTCTAACGCACATAACGCTTAAATCTGTCTACCGCCCACATAACCATATATTGATATCAGGGGTAGGTGGCGCATTTCAGTCTCGCTTTACTGCTTGCATATCTCCATTTCCCTTTGGTCCCATTAGCTGAGTAACGGGTATCTGATAGTCGAAGTTGAATAATTCAAAAGATTCCGATTGAGATGATACGAAAGACACAAACGAATTTTCCTGTATATCGGCTGAGTTAGCTGGAATAACTGAAGTAATGCTGGGTATTTTCAATTCTTCATTTGAACACTGAATTTGCATCATTGTATTAGCTGTTAAGATAAGCAATTCATTGCATTGCTTTATCCAATAATGGGAACCAATTGTGTCACATGCTTGAGAACAAATAATACAAGTATATAATAATCTATCGTGAAGTCTACGACGCATTGAAGAGTCTAAAATCTCAAAAAATTTGGCCCGTATATGCGGATTTTGAAAACGTAAGCCGTTCAAAAATGCTCGACTACAGCGTTCTTCCTTGCTTTGATTAAAAATGCTGCTGCAGGTTTTATTCGAAGTAACGGGGGGTTTACAATTTTTTTGTTGGTTTATGATTTCTTCTTTTCATAAACTAAATTTTTGTTAAAATAGCGATAATACAAACACATTAGATGTTACGGAGCTTTTAAAAGTTTTTATATAGTTCCTTAATTATTTTTTTAGTGGTCATCTAAGCCCCCTATGAAATGTTGAGTTGGTTCCTCTATCTCTTACGGTTTGCACTGTGTTTTTCTATACATATCTTATGATGGATTGTACATTTAAACGAGTTTCGCTGATAATCGAATTAGAACGAGTTTAAAATAATCGAATTAGAATGAGTTTGAAATAGTATAAATTCAAAATTTTAAACATCGAAACATATAGACGTGATCACATTCACAATTTTTTTGCGTTTTGTATGCTCTTGCGACAGAGATTCATCTACAATCCTTTATTTATATTACACTATGCAAGGATATTAAAGTTGATATTTTAATACTTACTTGACTTAAAAGATTTAATATAACGTCGCCCTCAATTTGCTCCAAGCAGCACAGTAATTGAGGTATCCATGGAAGCCAATAAGAGGGTGGAATGCCTGGAACATATTTTTCCAAAGTACTTAATAGAGTTTTCGTGTGGTTATCATAAGACATGAACCATAAAACTTTTGCAATATATTTTCTGGTTTTGCTTTCAATTTGATTTCTGCTTGCGTGTAAATAACATATTAATGCATTAGCAGCTAGTGAAATTTTTCTTTCTTTAAGAAAAATTTGTTCCATATAATCGCCCCACATAGCCCAGGCTTTTGTAAGACCATCATGAAGCTGTGCAGCAGCACTAAATGATTTTCCAGCTTCTTCAGTTCGTCCAATTTGGGCTAGCAGAAGTCCTTTTAAAGCATAAAATTCAGCATTCATTTCACCAGTAAAGTATTTCAAATTGGTGGATTCAATAACTTCCAAGGCTTCGTTAATTTCATTTTTTCCAGATGTTGAGGGCATTTGGAGGTAGCATTTTACTTGCTGCCGAATTTTCTGCATAAAAGTAGATTAAAAGTTCAGAAGTCTTTATAAACTGATAAGGCAAGATAACTATTATGATATACCAGAAACGGAATTCTGCAACGATACATGAGTTAGAGCAGAGCATGAGTGTGCAGTCTGTCTGTCTGTCAGTATTTTTCGATCACAGCAGTGTTCTATCTTTAATATGTACAGTATAAACTAAACTAGAGCCGTGGCATAAAAATAATCAAATATTTTGGTTTGATTAGGTGAGAATAAAATGTTTTCAGTTCACTTTAGTAAATTTGTATACTCGTAGAGTAAGAGAGTATTATAAATTCGGAATTTCGTTGGAAACTATGTAACAGGTAAAAGGAAGCGTTTCCGACGCCATAAAAAGTATACACTCTTGATCAGGGTCACTAGCCGAGTCGAGCTAGCCATGTCCGTCTGTTTGTCCGTCCGTATGAACGATGTGATACAATTTTAGGATTTAAAACGCAGATTCTAGGAGAGTCCCCGCCCGCTCTAACGCCCACAAACCGCCGAAAAACCTTAAAAAATCGCCTGTATGAACGCTGATATCTCAAAAACTATAACAAGATTGAGTATACAAGAATCTAAACCAAATGCAACTTTAAAAGTATACATTTTAAAACATAAGCTCTTTAAGTTTTTTAATTTAAGGTATTAAATTATACTAAATGGATTCTGACATTAATAATTCGCTGTTGGTTTTTTTAAAGTTGAGGATATTATCAGGCTTAACAAAATTGTTGTTCTGCAATTCAATACTATTATTGTCCATTCCATCTTGATCTTAAGAATTCTCTGATTTTTTCTTATATGTTTAAATTATGATTTAAGAATTTCGAAAAATTTGTTTTTAATTTAGGTGCCATAGGAACTATCGGAAAACTAATTAGAAAACAAGGAAGAACGCTATAGTCGAGTACCTCGACTATCAGATACCCGTTACTCAGCTATATGGAGATATGCAAGCAGCAAAGCGAGATTAAAATGCGCCACCTACCGGCGGTATACAGATTTAAGCGTTATGGGCGCTTTGGATCAATCGATAGGTATCGACGAGACCAATACATTTCAGTTAAAATTTTTTATCTAGCATGAAAATTGTGGGCGTCACAGGTTTTTGCGGTTTGTGGGCGTTAAAGTGGGCGTGGCAAACATTTTTTTGGGTCAATCGATAGGTATTGATGAGAACAATACATTTCAATTTAAATTTTTATTCTAGCATCAAAACTGTAGGAGCCACAGTTTTGGGCGGTTTGTGGGCGTTGGAGTGGGCGTGGCACATTGCTAAAACAAACTTGCGCTGCGTAAAAAGCTCAGGAATCTGCACGCCAAATCTCAATAGCCTAGCTCCCATAGTTTCAGAGATCTCAGCGTTCATCCGGACAGACGGACAGACAGACAGACGGACAGACGGACAGACGGACATGGCTAGATCGACTCGGCTAGTGATCCTGATCAAGAATATATATACTTTGTGGGGTCGGAAACGCTTCCTTCTGCCTGTTACATACTTTCCTTTTACTCTACGAGTAACGGGTATAACAATGTGAAGAAAGGTACACAGGCGTGCTCCGGTTTTAAGTAAAAAAACTTTACTTTACTTTTGCGTTTTTCGTTTTCAAGGAAAATTTTTGTTTTCGTTTTTACGTGCTATGGCTTTCTTATTTTCTTATTTTTATAAAACTAAAAAATAATAACAGAAATATTAAATATTCTGGAATATTAAAAGAATGCTATTTCCAAGAATAGAAGTTAATGTCAAAAGTCACCGAAATTATAAATTTGTAAATTATTTTAAAAATATTTTTGGGATCAATCCTATGGGAGCTACAGGATATAGTTGTCCGATCCGTCTCGTTCCGATTTATATACTACCCGAAATTTAAATATCCCGATAGCTTTGAAACCGAAAGACTACTTTGCGTAGAAACGGACGGCCGGCTGATGCTAGGATCGGAAATATCGCCTTTACTGCGTTGCAAGCTTCTGACTGAACTCATTACACCCCGCAAGGTATATAAATGCCTTTAACTTTTTGTAATGCAAAACAATTTTTGTCGCTTTCAAAAAGGAAAAAATTGGGTTTTGCGTATACCGAAGCACCAATTATAGTGTTTTAGAAGTTAAAGGAAGAAGGTTCTAGGGTACAGCAATTTTTTTAATGTAACATTTGCTTGCCGAATGTAGCATACTTTCTTGTGTTTATTAAAATGGCCATTGGGACGATAACAATTAAATTTAATTTCAAATTACCTGAAAACAATCCACAATCGGAACGGAAGGAATGGTATATATCCTGGACAATGTTTCTTGACAAACACCTGTCAAATTGTGTTTTCTAGCAATTTTTCCAAAAGAAATAATTGCTTGTGCGGATGCGTGTACTCCTAGCATTGTACTTCCTTGATCTGCTTGTTGTTCTAGGTGTTGCGTTATTATTTGGTAGTGATGTTGTCGCCAAGTAAATATATCACTCCAATGTGATAAGTCATCAGAAATAATTGGTAACCGATTACGCCAAGTTTTAACGATGGCTTTCATATCGTGCAATGAATTACTACGAGATTGCGCCAGTCCTTGGTGGATTTGACTTGCTTCATGAAGTTCCATAATTTGTTGTGAGGCTTGAAGATATGGCAAGTGTATATGTGAAACTATATTGGGTAATCGCCGCCACTCACGAATACATAAGCTAGATGCAATCTCTACATATCTTTCTACACTGCCATTTTGCCTTTCTTCTTGGTGAAGTATATTCAAATAGCCTTTGAAAAGGTTTATTTTAAAACCATGATGTTTCAAATAACATTGTTCTGTTTTAGCTAAAGATGTTTTCATTAAATTCCAATCAGGTACGCGCCATGAACTTTCAAGAATTAAAAACATATTTTTATCTTTATTAGTTTGGGCATAGTCCAGTAGAATGTCCCACTGATTCAATTCCTTAGCACATCGCATCCAGTGTTTTTCCCATAATAATAACTCGCTATTAACATATGTATTAACGACACCGTTATTTAAATCCTGTTTAAATTTGGTCATTGCTAGGTCATAAGCACCTTGAGCTTCTTCGAAAAATCCCATTTGTTCATATGAAACCGCTATATTTGTTTCCGGATAGTGTGCAAACTTAAGCCAAAGGCCAGCCCACAGATCTTCCTCATGCATTGAAGAATACATTTTTGAAAGTGAGTCAAATATATTTTTTGATTCTTGATTATCCAAATCGGGAAAATTAAAATCCACATCTTTAGAGTTATCCTTACTTTGATTAACTGACATATCCTCTAAAACCAGGACTGCTCTGTGCCACAGGTTATGAGATTTTCCAAGGTATGCTAATAAATTGGGAGGAATATATATGGATGGCGTGCATTTAGTCAAACTTTCTACAAAAGTGTTCAGTGTACTTGGAAAGCAATCCTTTTGATTGACATTTGTTCCAGACGATAAAAACGGAATTAATTCCTTTGTGATGTTATGCTTTTGATCTTCAGTAAATATACTCCAAATACGTGGAAATATAGATATCCAAATGCATTGAGCTAAATGCGTGTCGATATGACAAAGCTGAGAAGTAGCGACAAGCATCTGATCGGTCCTTATATTTCGATTTGCTTCCAAAAATTCAGCTTGCTTATAAACTAGTTCAACTAACGTAGCACGTCGAGTTGGTAATATTTGTAGACAATCATCTTTTCGATCAGCGGTGAATTCGAGAGTTAAATCAATATCAAACACGTCATCTTTATCATCAACACCTTGAATAATATCAAAAGATTCCGATTGAGATGATAGGAAGGACACAAACGAATTTTCCTGTGTATCGGCTGAGTTAGCTGGAATAACTGAAGTAATGCTGGGTATTTTCAATTCTTCATTTGAACACTGAATTTGCATCATTGTATTAGCTGTTAAGATAAGCAATTCAATGCATTGCTTTATCCAATAATGGGAACCAATTGTGTCCCATGCTTGAGAACAAATAATATACAATAATCTATCGTGAAGTCTACGACGCATTGAAGAGTCTAAAATCTCAAAAAATTTGGCCCGTATATGCGGATTTTGAAATCGTAAGCCGTTCAAAAATGCTCCCTCCAGTTTGCTTGTTAATTCTGTTTGCTTAAGAACTTCATCTCTATATATAAAGTTTATAATTTCTAAGAATTGTACGTTTAGTTCAATTTCATCAGTGAATTTTTTATCAACGTTCTGCATTAGTTTTACGAGCAAAGCTGATTTTTCCCGAATAGATGGAACTTGAATCATAACATTTGCTTCTTTTGTTTTAATCCAGTCATCCATCATTTTAATTATACATTTTATAATTTTTACTTCAGAGCTTTTTTCTATAAGACTAACCAAAATTGTACCCATGAAAAGTTTTCTGATTTCCACACTCATTATAAAAATTCTATTTTTTATTAATTCCAGCGAAAGCACTAAGAGCTCTAAAGGTAAAGAATTTGAATCAGGGAGTTGGCTGTTAACATTGCCGTTTATTGTATTTATATGATCCTTTGTAAGTCGATTTAGAACTCTTATAAATTGAACCAAAATTCGATCGATATAATTGTGGTTATTCGTGGTGCACGCCTTTAAAATCATTAAGGCACCAAATAGCGACGACGCATTCGGTTGCGGACTCTTTTCGTAAAACGTGAGGTTTTCGCCAATCATTTTACTAACAGCACTATATAATAAATCAAGATCGTCATGTTTGTGTTGCGAGTCTGGTGGAAAAATTCCCATAATTCGTGTTAAAAACATATGCATTAATCGCACAATCCGAGTATTTTGATGAATTATACATAAGGACAAGCCTCGTTGAACTGGTCTTACAATTGATAGTAACTGGTCCTTGTTCAATATAGTAGTTAAAAATGTTAAAAAATCGATTCCAGTGCAAATGTTGTTTAAGTTGTGATGAGGAGTTTCCACAGTTGCAAGAACTTTATCAAGCCAATTAAGCTTAATATCAAAAGGTTGTGGCCAAATCTCAGGACGCATTGCCATTTTTAAAAGCATAACGCACCTGAAAATAAATTATACAAGAAATTGAATTAAACATATTAAATAATATAATATAAATAAATATAAGACAACAAATAACACCAGCTTATAAAACAATATCGTCATAATGCTATAAAGTTAAGTTACCTGATTTAAAAATTGACACTCAAAATTCAACGCGTTTTCCCATTGTTCTTGGGCCTATATTTATTATATCTGTTACTCGTAAAGTAAAAGGGTAAGCCAGATTCGTCGGAAAGTATGTTACAGGTAGAAGAAAGCGATTCCTACACCCTAAATTATAAACAGTGGGGAGCCAAAGTGAGTACATGTTTGCTCTGTTACTCGTAAAGTAAAAGGGTACGCCAGATTCGTCGGAAAGTATGTTACAGGTAGAAGAAAGCGATTCCTTCACCCTAAATTATAAGCAGTGGGGAGCAAAAGTGAGTACATGTTTGCAAGTTTTGACTGTTGGCCGCTTAAAAAGTTAGTACGCTTGTCAATACCTACCTGCACGACGGCAATTGTTAAAATCGGACCATTATTTCATAAGTAATGATTTTACGCTCATAACTAGCAAGAAAATCGTCAACAACGTCACAGTCAGTAGCTTACAGTGAAAAGTGTAAAATGTATAATTGTATAGTAGATAAAATGTAAGAATAATTTCATTTTGAAAATGGTTAGCTGAGTAGGCACTCAAATAGGCGTTCTCTCTTGTTTTATGTCGAGTTCTGTTGAGTCGATTGCGATTAAAGACACAAATTGCTGGTAATAAAATGCTCTTCAACCTTTTTATATACAACATATAGCTCAAGTCGCTAGCGCCCGACAAAGTTGAACAAAGCTGGTCAAATTAAAGAGGCGAACGGCACACAACGTAGTGACGAAACATAAAAAACAACTTTTTAAAGTGACAAAAACAAAAAGTTCCACACATGCGATATTTAACACGTCTTCTCTGTACTACGTGGAGTCAATACTAAATGTCGTTTAGTAAGTACCTAAGTATATGTATACGTGGGCGCAATTTAATGTCTGTTTTTAAGATCAGTCTTGTTTGTGGGTATGCATATATGTAATATTTATATTAAAAACTGTAGCTTTCTCAAAATTCGGAAAGAGGTCACAAAGAGTCACAACCGATTCCTTTAAACGTATAACGCAAAGTACCGCCACAACTCTTACTCTTCCTTATTCTCCCTTATCTAAGTGAGCGAGCTAGGTGTACATACATTCGATCTCTTAAGTAAAGTACTAGACAGAAGGGGATGCGAATATAATTCTTACAGTTAACTTGGGATAGGTTTACCGCTTATTCTATCGCACAGTGGGTGTCCTAAGTAGTAAAGTGTGGAACAGTTGACCTTGCAAGTAAATGTCCTACTACAACCTGACAGTGTATCCCCTGATCACCGTGGGTTAACGCTTCTTTATTTACAAAATGCGTTGCAGTTTTAGTAATTTAATCTTATAAGTAGTGATAATTAACATATTATATTAACATATTTTACACAGGTTTTGCAAACATTCATGCATCATAATCAGTAAAAAAGGAGCGTAAAACATTGAAGTAAGTTAAATTCTTTACAACTGATCGATGGCAAACCAATATCGTCTTTAAAAACGCAGTTTTTATTAAAAAACCTTTGTTTATAAAGTGACAGTCACAGCCTTACACTTGGACCAATTTAAAAAGACATTTAAATTGCATGATGCAATTTTTCATGTAAAATGTTTTACTTTTTAACGTCGTTATGTATAATGAGCGTTCAGCAAAACAAACTTGATCACTGATTACTGATCCATTTGTTATCAAGTTATCTGCTGATCGCGGCCAATTATGTGTGCTGTAAGCTAGTTGAGCAGCAAGAGAGAGATCTATTGATAAAAACCAAACTTTTGATATCTACCCACAGCTGTTTTCTTTGGGTTGCCAGATTGGTCGCAACATATTTATTCAGCACATTTTCTTTGTTTTATCAAATGCCTTTTAAACTTATGTATTTGAATAACAAATAAGCATTATCAGTGTTGTAAAAGATTTGAATACGAAAAACGATGGTGTTGTAAATGTGTTATTTTCTAAACCGTATACAAAGGACATACTTACGTCAAAATAAAAAAAAATAAAAAACAATTAAGACAAACTTTGGCCTGACCCCCGAGTGTGGGAGTCCTCTGCCGGCGCTCTGCCACGACACCGACCTTCCCAGTCGTAAATGATTGCATTCCAGCACCCGTTCTTTCATTATAAAATGTCAATAAAAAGGTGTTCCGAAAGTGATGACTCTGTCAATTCCTTTTGCGGGACAAAAAATAATATACCCGTTGCATGCATCTACACCCAGAAAAAAATCCGTTCGAAACGTTCAAAAATCAAGCCCATTCGGAGTTAAAAAGTGCGTAAGCCCGTTTGTTGACAATTCATGAACGGTCGTTCATAAAATTTGACCGAAGCTTTAGGGTTGGGTTCCGAACGAATGGTGTCAGTTTAAGAACATTTCGGGCTTAACTTGAGAACTTGAGAAAAAAAACTAAAAACAAGGAAGAACGCTATAGTCGAGTACCTCGACTATCAGATACCCGTTACTCAGCTAAATGGAGATATGCAAGCAGCAAAGCGAGATTAAAATGCGCCACCTACCGGCGGTACAGATTTAAGCGTTATGGGCGTTAGAGTGGGCGTGGACGGAGGTATCGACGAGACCAATACATTTCAGTTAAAATTTTTTATCTAGCATGAAAATTGTGGGCGTCACAGGTTTTTGCGGTTTGTGGGCGTTAAAGTGGGCGTGGCAAACATTTTTTTGGGTCAGTCGATAGGTATTGATGAGAACAATACATTTCAATTTAAATTTTTATTCTAGCATCAAAACTGTAGGAGCCACAGTTTTGGGCGGTTTGTGGGCGTTGGAGTGGGCGTGGCACATTGCTGAAACAAACTTGCGATCTAGCCATGTCCGTCTGTCCGTCTGTCCGGATGAACGCTGAGATCTCGGAAACTATACAAGCTACAATACTGGGATTAGGCATGCAGATTCCTGAGATTCCTGCGCAGCGCAAGTTTGTTTCAGTAGAGTGCCACGCCCACTCTAACGCCCTCAAACCGCCCAAACCTGTGGCTCCTACAGTTTTGATGCTAGAATAAACTGAAATGTATTGGTCTCGTCAATACCTATCGATTGATCCCAACAAAAATTTGCCACGCCCACTCTAACGCCCATAACGCATAAATCTGTCTATCGCCGGTAGGCGGCGCATTTCAATCTCGCTTTGCTGCTTGAATATCTCCATTTCCCTTTGGTTCCTTTAGCTGAGTAACGGGTATCTAGTCCAGGTACTCGACTATATCGTTCTTCCTTGTTTTTATTTCAATATTTAGGAATGCAACTAATTTTTATTCGGAATCACTGCCCATCTGTACGTGGCTTTGCTGCTTCCTTCTTGTTTTTGTACTTTTATCATTTACGCAGTTCTGTCCTTGTTGTGCCCATCCCTTTTTTGCGATTCTGATAGATATAAAGCAATTTGAATATTATATATTTAAGTACATGTGTATATATATTACAAATTTACAATTTATTTATTTTGTCACAATTACACTGTTTTACTATGTAAAATTACCATACAATTAATTTTTACTTTAATAAATTACTTTGTTTTTATTTTGTATGTTCAATTGTACATATGTATATATAATATGTATGAACATATGTACTATGTTATTTTATTGTGTTCATATTGAACTAAATTATCTACACTTAACTTACCTTTGAAAACATAGATGTAAAACTGGTGGCAGAAAGCAAAAAACTTTTTCAAAACAGTCGGCATGAACTTCACTTTTCAGAATTATAAATGCAACTGACAAGAAATGCAAGAGACAAGGAAAATCGCGCGCTTTCTTGCATGTTCCCTTTTGCTTTTATTATTTGTTTGTCAAGAGAACAGTACCGAAAAATTTTTGTTGTACATTCCCATCAAATTAAACCTGGATGCACTGTATTGAAACACATCTAGAAGGCACCACAATAGACTGCACCTATCACGAACATGAATGATTTTTACCTCGTTAAGGTGTTTTTTTTTGATATCAGAAGTTTTGGTTTTAGACATCAATCACATAATTCATCTTCATACGGCTTCCATTTTTTTAATTTTTACTTTTACTTTCACCGATCTTTTTCCCAAACGAATTAAAATTGTTGCCGTCTTTGTATGCAATCCTTTTAGGTTTTTCAATATCATTTGATTGTTGTAACACTAGTTATGATCGGACCATCATAGCAGTGATGCAGTGGGCTTCGTCACAAAGTAGACTGCGGTCCAAGTGATGTTTGAAAAGACTGCATTTAAGTTTTCGTCAGAAGTTTTTTACGCAGAGAAGGAATTAAAGTCGTTTCGACACAGTATATCAAACGATATATAGCACAAGCCTTTTGCTTTTGTAGTTTACAAGTTACGGGTGTACTAAACACAGCTACTTACAGCTGTTTTTCTGTCAAACTAACGAGTTTTTCCAAAAGTGATAAAACTAAAGATTCTCATATTAAGTTGTTTAATATCATCTTAAATTTCCAGGAGCTTCAAGTAGAGTTTGGACACGCACAAAAAAGGTCAATGTGCAGGCAGTGTTAGATGTTCTGAAGAGGTAAATGTGGCCTTTTTTGTTGATAAATAACTTTGAAAGGAGACTGTTTACTACAATGTGTCGCGTGTCAAAAGCTAAGGAATCTCAAGGGCTATGCACCTTAAAATTTAATTTAAAATCGTAAAAGCCGTTTTTAAGAAATCAGGAAAAAAAAAAAGAATATCTAAATTAAAAAAAAATACTTTATCCTTAGTTTTTAGCGGATGGTATTTAGACAAATCATGTTAAAAGGCGTACAAAACATTTCAAAATACCTTTCTAACTACATATAGCAACAACATATTCACAAGTTACGGGTGTACAACATTTAGCTATTTATAGATGTTTTGTCGCCAAACTAGCTTGTTTTTCCAAAAGTGGTGGAAGAA